AATTACAAGGATTCCGGCTGCCTCTAGGGAGGAGCATGTTAAAAGGCTTTGAGAGGGTGTGGAACCTTGAAAAGCAGGATTAGTGTATAAGGAAGAGATTTTTTTCTAGTCTAATGCATGAAACAGTTCCTTTGAGGGTGTCTGCACTAGAAGCATGCGGTTTTAGTACTGCTTGGAGCTTTGCAGCTTGGTAGGACTCATGATGCTGGTCTAGATCGTAAAAACTGTAATCTGACCATTTTGGTAGATAAACATGTCAAACTAGCTAATAGTATGTCTTTCCTTTTTATAGGCAGACACTCCTCAGAAGAGATCACTGACTGCCATGGATTTTGCTAACCAGAGAGGGACAGGTCAAGGATTTTTAGTAGGTAGGCAAAGTAAGAATCATTTGGACTGGAAAACGCCAACAAAATCTTTTAACTCATAGTATGGCCAAGAAGTAAAGTGCTCAGGGAGAGCCATCTTGGCATAAAAGAATAACAGATGTGCTTGGCAGGATCTTTTTGGTCTGCTTTTGAAGTTTCTTCTCACTTGGTCTGGGATAGCCATAACTCTGTTAAGGACCCTGCAAAGCTTCTTGTCATTGTTAAGGTGTGGAAGGAAAAGGATTTGTAGAATCATAGAATGGCTTGGTTGGAAGGGCCACCTAGTTCCAACCCCCCTGCCATGGGCAGGGACACCTTCCACCAGACCAGGTTGCTCAAAACCCCATCCAACCTGGCCTTGAACACTTCCAGGGATGGGGCAGCCACAACTTCTTTGGACAACCTGTTCCACTGCCTCACCACACTCGTGATGAAGAATTTCTTCCCAATATCTAATCTAAATCTTCCTCCTTCCAGTTTAAAGCCATTGCCCCTTGTTCTATCACTCCATGTCCTTGTCAGAAGTCCCTCCCCAGCTTTCTTGTAGGCCCCTTTAGGTACTGAAGGCTGCTCCCCGGAGCCTTCTCTTCTCCAGGCTGAAAAAACCCAGCTCTCAGCCTGTCTTCACAGGAGAGGTCCTCCAGCCCTTGGACCATCTTTATGGCCTCCTCTGGAATCCCCTCCTTCGACCTGCTGGTCACACTGCTTTGGATGCAGCACAGGATACGATTCCCCCTCATCTTAATTTTGTTTTTTAAAGATTTCAGTGTATTTACAATTAGGGCAAGTGTATGGGGTGTACAGGCTAGATGTTTTGCAGCTGCTAGAGCAGCAACACAAAAACATGTTTGTGAACTGTTTCATGACATAAATTTTGTTTTAGCCCCCATATAAATTCACCAAATTAACAAACTTTTTATGTGGGGAAAAATAAAATTAGAAATGTGCATTTTTAACATAAGTGCAAACTCTCTTAAATAAATGAAGTCAATAGTGATTTGCAACTACGTTTTCTGTTTATAACACCAAGAAAGAGAGCAGCCTTATGTGGCTTACTTAATTCCATTCTTACAATAAAGCTGATTAGCTGGTTCCTGAGATGTTTGAGTGCTTGTACCTAACCTTTATTTGTTTGGAAGTTCCTTGAGTTCCTCTATAGACAGATAGGAGCAGCCTCATGTTCACAAGCCCTGGTCCTCATGGGAGACTTTGGCCACCCCAATATCTGTTGGAGGGACAACACAGCGGGGCATAAGCAATTCAGGAGGTTCCTGGAAGGCATTGATGATAACTTCCCTCTCCAAGTGATAGAGGAGCCAATGAGGAGAGGTGCTATGCTGGACCTTGTTCTCACCAAGAAGGAAGGTCTGGTGGGGAATGTGAAGCTCAAGGGCAGCCTTGGCTGCAGCGACCATGAAATGGTGGAGTTCAAGATCCTTAGGGCAGGGAGGAGGGCACACAGCAAGCTCACTGACCTGGGCTTCAGGAGAGCAGACTTTGGCCTTTCAGGGAGCTGCTTGGTAGAGTACCATGGGATAAAGCCCTGGAGGGAAGAGGGGCCCAAGAAAGCTGGTTAATATTCAAGGGTCACCTCCTCCAAGCTCTGGCACGATGCATCTCAGCCAAGAGGAAGTTGTGCAAAAACACCAGGAGGCTTGCGTGGATGAGAAAGGCGCTCCTGGACAAACTGTCACAAAAAGGAAGCCTACAGAGGGTGGAAGCAAGAACAGGTGACCTGGGAGGAATACAGAAAACTGCCTGAGCAGCCAGGGATCAGGTTAGGAAAGCTAAAGCCCCGGTAGAATTAAATCTAGCCAGGGACATCAAGGGCAACAAGAAAAGCTTGTATGTATGTTGTTGAGAAAAGGAAGACTAGTGAAAATGGGGGCCCTCTCTGGAAGGAAACGGGAGACCTGGTTACCCAGGATGAGGAGAAAGCTGAGGTACTCGATGACTTCTTTGCCTCAGTCTTCACCAACAAATGCTCCAGCCACACCGCCCAAGTAGCAGAAGGCAAAGTCAGGGACTGGGAGAATGAAGAATCGCCCGCTGTAGCAGAAGATCAGGTTCAAGATCATGTAAGGAACCTGAAGGTGCACAAGTCCATGGGA